AGGCCAAGCTGAAAGGGTTGTGGGCAGGACTCGTTCAATTCCAACCTCTAGAATACCTTGGATTAATATTCGGTGAAAAGAACCTGATACCTTAAACTGAAAGGGGTCCTGAAGATATTCACGTTTATATCCTCTCACATTTTTGTTTCTGACAAGGGCCTGTTGGGGCTCTACCTATGTTCAAAAGACATTCCAGAATTTTCAGGTGACAGCTTTTTTCTTCAGAACATGTCCTTCTGCCATGAGGATGTTGGGTGACTGGTATCAAGAAGGGATGACTCTGCTCCTGAGAGAACCTCTCAGGACCAGGTTCTGCCTCTCAGGGCCTGCATAGGAATCTCTGCCTCAACCTCTTTCTCCAGCCCTCACCTATCACAGTAGTTTCGTCCCATGCTCAGGCTTATGAGAGGACACTGAGGGCACAGGCTCAGGACTGGCTTTGCATGTCTCCAGAATGCACACAGTACGGAGACAAGCAGTTCGAGAATGCAGTGAGGCCACTGTAAATACAGTAGACTGAAACTCACAGGCCACAGGAGTGAAACTGACCTTGAGAATGCCACAAAGGTAGGGGATGTCATGGACACTTGAGAATTGTAAAGAATGCCATTTTGTATCCATTAACTTTGCTAGAAAATTGATCAGCTCCAGTGTGTAAGTTGTAGTGGAAAAGAAAGGAATAGGGAAACTATCAAGATGGCTTGACTAGCATGAGTTATATTCTAATAATAAAGGAAAAAAGCAACAACGCCCTATAATATATACTCACAATGACTTCACTTATCTTCATTTATGAGGAAGCATCTCAAATTCAGAAAACTTAGATTTTAGGAATAAGTTATGACAAAGCACAGGAGGGAGATGGCTTTGGCACTTGTTTGGTTCAACTGTGCACAAAGGCCATTTTCAAATGCTGTGTGTAATACACCAGGCAGGAAACAGCAAAATCACAATCGTGTTGGGGAGTCTGGAAGGAAATTTTCATTTCCTGTTCTATTTTCAGGCTGAGAAAAAGCCATTTTTCTTAAGCAGTTTTCTGGCTAGATTGTTTAGGTCTAAAAACTCCTTATTCTATCAATACAGTTATTTGTGGGGGAAAAGCAATACTCTGTATTCCTTCTTCATTCACAATGGTTAATTATTTGCCTTCTTTTCCAGATGTTTTAGCCCCACCACCTCTCCCTGCCCCCTTTGTCACTGGATTCCAACTGTACGTGGTTACATGCATTTCTCACGTTGGCTGTGTAATGAGACGTTGCCCCTCATTTCCCTGAAAACTGCCAACAGTACATAAAGAATGATGAAATTGAAACCAGAAGACTGAGTTCAAGCACCAACTTCACCTCTGTTTTGAGTCGGACGGCACTTATCATTTTTAGTCACAATTTCTTAGAAATAGTAATACCGAATCTAAGTCAAATGACAAAATATTTACACTAGCGCTATATCCTGTGACGAAGTGAAGAGTAAAGGAGAGAAGACATTTATTTAACACCTTCTAAATGGTAGGTTCTGAATTATAGGCATTTTACTAAACTCCTCCCAGCAACTCTAGGGTAAAACATTATTAATCTCATTTTCGCAGATGATTTTAAAGGCTTAGAGAAGTTAAATAACTGGCATTAGATTCTAGCTAATTTGGATTTAGCTAAAAAAAAAACAAAAAAAAAACCTTAAGATGTGAATCAGATAGTTCTGTCTCTCAAATCCAAACTCTTTTTACTACATCATGCTATTACTATTACATTACCAACTGGTTCTATCAAAAGATGTAATTTATGAAATGGTAACTAGACACTTGTAATGTGGGCAAGATTGCAAAGGACCAACACAGTATTTGCCTCAAGGAGTGAGTCCTATAGATCCAAAGGCCCTCGGCTCAGCTCTCCTCCCTTCATTGGAGACCCTACCTGGACGGGGGCAGTTAGCTGACAGCTTCCAGCTGCAGCACCTGTGGGGTCCACCACAGTATCTGATCCAAGTCAATGACAGAGCACAGCAGGGGTGTTGGACATGGCCACTTCTGCCCAAGGAAGCACTCCTTCTTGGGCAATCTTCCTTCCCCCTGTCCTTTCCTAGATGCCAAAACCACATCACAGTCTGAGGGCTCTTCCTGCCTACTCCTGCTCCCTCACCCAGATCTCTCTCAGGCACTACCCCCCCTCTCAGATTTCTTGCACCTCTAACTTTATCTTGACATCTGCTTCCTACAGGACATGACTGACAGACACAACAGGGTAATACATTCTACATGACTTACTTTGGGTTGCTTCATTGCACAAATAACATAAAGGAGCCTAGGAAAAATACATAGACTATAAAAGATAAATACTGGAGGGAGTTACAGTGAAGAGAAATCATGACAGAAAAGCCAAGGTTAGAGATGAGTGTCCGGTAAGGAACCATACAGTCTTACATTCTTGCTAGAGAATAGGCCATGAACTTCACAATAGGTTTCTTAGCTAACAAAGCAAGGCAGGAAATGTGTTCAGTTACAACTTACAATGTTCATTTCCTTAAAAACATTAATGCAGGTATTTAAGCCTAGTCTTGAAGGAAGTTTGGACAAGCAAAAGAGGAAAGAGCATTCATTCCAGGAGAAAGTGTGAGAACTAGCACTGATGTGCTTCTCAGAAGTCTAAGCTGTTTTGCTTCTTTAATTCATTTAACAAATATTTGAGCACCTGTTCTATATCCACACTTGACGGTACAGGCTCATGAGAGTGGGAACTGTATTCCCAGTTGCTTAGTAACCATGACTGACACATAGAAGGGACTAGCTGTATGAGCTAGTCAGTATATGTGTGCAGCTCATGTGCCAGGTGCTAAGAATGTGACATTCACAGAACACAAATACATAAACATTTAAACAATACAAAGTTATTAAGTATTATAGTCAAGGTTTTCTAATAAGAGAACAATTGTTGAGGGCTGGCAGTGGCTAAGCACTGTGCTAATGCATGGGTGTGGCAGGCAGAATGACAGGCCCCCACTTACGCCTGTGTCCTAATCCCCAGGATATATGAATGTGTGACCTTACATGTCAAAAGAGACTTTGCAGATGTGAGTAAGGGTACAGACCTAGAGATAGGGAAACTCCTGGATTAACCTAATAGGTGCAATGTAATCACAAGGGTCCTAATAGGGAAAGGGAGGCAAAGTCAACGCCTTGATTTTAGCCCATTTTGGACTTCAGACCTCCAAAATTGTACCATAATATATGTGTTGTTTTAAGCCACTGGGTCTGTGGTAATTTGTTACAGTAGCAAATTTCATCTTCTACAAACCTATGAACCACTATTTTCCTTTTGCAGATGAGGCAACTGAATCTCACAGAGGTTTTGCCAAAAAAAATTTAAATATCTCAATAATTTTTTAAACTGCTTACATATTGAAATAATATTTTTGATATACTAGGCTTATATTTAAATAAAATTAAAATTAAACTCACCTGTTCCTTTTTATGTTTTTTAAAATGTGGCTTCTAGAACATTTTAAATATATGTAATATGTAATATATTACATTACATTACATAAAATATATGTAATAAATATATGTAATTTAAAATGTTCTAGAAGCCACATTTTAAAAAACATAAAAAGGAACAGGTGAGTTTAATTTTAATTAAACCCAGTGGCTTGCATATATTTCTAATGAACAGCACTGGCCTAGAATCTCATTCTCAACAGTTTGGATTTTATCCCCAATCTTTGGATTTTTTTGAGCAAGAGATATGTGGTTTAGGAATATAATTCAGGAAGCAGATCAGGAGGTAGCTTGAAAAACACTCCCTGGAGCAGAATAGTTGAAAAGTTCTGCCTGTGGTCTCAGGAAGAGTTGATAAAGGTTCTTGTCAGAGTCTCAAAACACACTTCTTTCCTTTGAGGAGCTTACAATCTAATTTTAGATGGTGTTAAAATCCAAAGAGATGGCCTAAATGGAAATGGTTTGTTCAGGCTAATTCTCCAGAGAGGGAGGTGTATGCTGGAGTAACTAAGATGGGTGATGTAGGGTTGCTGAGGCAAGATGCCAAGAAGTGAGTGTCCCTATTCATGCAGTTAGAGCCGAATGTAACAACAGCAATGTAGCTACCATGTACTATTTGCCTGCGACCAAACTACTGCTTAACATATGTTAACTCATGTAATTCTCATGACAACTCTGTGTGGTGGTAGTTCTTTTACAGAGGAGGGAACTGAAGCACAAAAAATTTAAGTTGGAACCTGTCCAAGCTTGCATAGCCAGTACAGGCAGAACCAGGACCAAAATCTAGGCTACACCCCAGACGCACATCTTCTCCCTCCTGATGTGGAGCAGCCTTCACTGAGCAGCGGGGACTTGGGGCTCTCAAGTCTAAGAGCCAGGAAGGGGATGAGGAGACAAGTGTTCCTCCTCCTGTGGGGAAACACCAGACTGGAGGAACTGAGAGAAGAAAGCTTCAGGAAAAGGAGTGGGATTGAGGAGAGAGAAAAAGAGGTCAGAGTAGGAAAGAACACTAAGTCAAAAGGCCCTTCCCTTGTATGATTCAAAGGAATGACTCAGGTAAAATTAAAAGCTCTGTTCCTCTTCAACTCAACTGCTCTTCAGAGATCTACCTGCCCCTTAGGAAAGAACTTCATGCATCTTTCTCACAGTAAGATCTGTGGCTCATCTGTCAACTTGGAAGGCACCAAAAAGAGGCAGTTGTCATGCCCATTTTTCTGGGGCCCCATCTAAAACCAGCCCAGCACTAGTGACCACCACCCCTATACTACTAGGCAGAATTGCCCACAGTTAATGGCAGCTATGGAGATGCCACCCCACCCCCACTCCCAGATACAGGACACAGTGAGACCAAATTCCCTAATTGCCTTTCAGTGAGAAGGAAAAATCCTTTGAGACCCAAGGAGGAGCCTTTCCAGGTCAAGTCTGCACTGGTAAGGAGTTCTGGTTGCAAGCAAAAGAAAACAAATTCAAAATAACTTCAGCAAACAAGAAAAACATGCAATCAATGTGATACCTCCAGTCCTTGGTAATAGAGGAGAGCCAGAGCTGGGGGCTCTGGCTCTGTCCCTCTTCTAAGTCCTTTCTGCATCTCTTTTGCTGGTCTTCTTTCTCATCACAGAACACCTTTTTCTGCATTTCCAACGATGTGGTAGAAAATGATCACCTATAGCTCCTGGGTTACAAACGCAAGCATCCAAGGAAGAGATTAATAAAGCTGACTAAACTTTGGTTTGTTTTTTATCATCACATGGACTGGCAATGCTGAACAGAGTCAGTAATAAAATATTTTTGCCTGCTGGACCAAACTCCGTAGCCACCCTCCTCCTCCCACCAGAACTGATAAATGCAAATACATATTTACCAATTTAAAAAATAAGTACAAGTTGTTTTATTTTTTTTCTCTCAAAAAGATTGAATAAAATCTTTAAATAATAGGAGCGGGAGCATTTGATAGGTAAAGTGTGCCAAGATCCTTGTCTTCTTTAGGGAGAGGATAGCCTATAATGAGGAATTAAAAGGAACTCCAGTTGAAAGTTTTAATATATATACTCCGTATGTTTGCTGATTTAATGTGTTTTGCTGATCATTTATAATGTTAACCTAGCTTTAAACAAATGGACCTGCATTTGGTTTGTTTTTTTTCATCTAATAATCATTGCCAGTCTCAAGACTTCCTGTTGTCCATCATCCAGTCACTGGGGGAGCTAAAAAATGTTGCAAAAACAGGGACAATCAATTATGTTTCAAAGACTTTGTTCAGTTTGACTTAATGATCAGATAGTCAGGTCCCAACAGAAAACACTGGCATTGTCCCACATGATCTGAGCGGAATTTTACACATGGCTTCCTAGCTCAATTTCCCCAGGGAAGTGGGAGAGTGGAGGGCCCCCTAGGCATCCCTGCCTCCTGCTCTCTGAGACATCGGTCAAATGGTTGAGAAGACAGCTTTAGATGGAAATTTATTTTTCTTTATTTTTGAAGCAGGCAGGAAAGATGGTGCATGATTCAAGTTATGATTTTGCACCTAACGACATAATTTTTTAAGAAAACCCAATTCTTGTAATCCCCAAATCCAAATTGTTAAAACAAGTTGCCTCAACTTACAATAGGCTTCAGCAAAGGTTTTCTTTTAAATAAGCATTTACTGCTCCTTTACACTTTTTAAAAAATATGATTTTGTTTTGTTTTTTAGAGAGAGAGAGAGAGAGAGACATCAATGAGCTGCCTCCCGCACCCCCCCCCCCCCCCCGGGGATGGAGCCGAAACCCCGGCATGTGCCCGGAGCCCTGCCCTAACCTGGACCTCTCAGTCCACGGGAGGACGCTCAACCCGCCGGGCTTCACACTTTCCTTATTGGGTGGCACAGAGCTATTTACAAATTTCAGGAGACTATCCGCCTTATAAAGTAGAGGCAGTTTTTAAAAAGTATAACTCATTTTTTTTAAAAAAAATTAAGAAATACAAGCAAATACTTAAAATCTAAACATCAGCTGTAATCCCCGCGTCAACAACGTCCCCATTCTGGTACGTGTCCTCGCGGGTTCTTAGAACACCTGGTGGACACGAGGGTGTGTGTATTTCAGAGCCGGGCTCACCGCCCGGTTCGCGCGGGCGTGACCACGCGACCGCGCCCCGCCCCGCCGGCGCGGGTGTGTCGGCGGGCCGCACCCCGTTTATCCCTCTGCCCGCGTCCAGCGGCCCGGCCCGCAGGCTCCAGGGGCTCCCTCCTCCTCCTCCCGAAACTTTCCCGTTTCAGCCGCAGACAGTCTCTCAGGCTCCCGCTAGCTCCAGCCCTCCCAAGTCGGCTGCACAAGGAAAAGCCCCTCAAGGCAGGAGGAGGCAGGCGGCCCACCCGCCCTCTGCAACTGGAGGCGGAAGCCCGCAGCGGCGCGGAGCGGCGCGCACTCGCGCGTGGGAGCCGCCCAGGCCCGCCGTCCGCGAGCGCGCCGCAGCGGACACGCGCCCTCCCCTCGGCGGAGACGCGCCGGGGAAGCGCGCGGCCGCGAGCCCCGGGCGCCATCTTGGAGACGGAGCCGGGCCGAGGCGCGGCGCACCTACGCGGCGGCCGTAGCTCGCTGAGGGGCGTCTCTGACGGCGACGAGGGTTCTCGGCAGAAGGACGCGGGCGGCGCGGGACTGAGAAGGAAGGCTTCTCCCTGGGCAGCCAGAGCCGCAAAGGTGGAGCCGCATTGGCGCCCGCCCCGGGACCAGCGCCTCGGATGCGGGCGGAGCGCGGGGGGTCGCGTCGGCGGGAGCCGGAAGCGCGGGGCCCGGGGGGCCTCATGTGAAAGCCGCGGAGCCGGCCGCCGCCGTCCCCGGAGCCCGGGGTGGTGCGTGGGGGAAGCCGCCCCCAGCAGCAGGTAACGGCGGAGGGTCAGAGTCGGAGCCCCTCGGCGGCGGCGGCGGCGGAGCCGGGGAGGCTGGGCGGGGTCCGGGCGCGAGCCGCCCCTCGGGAGCGCCCGACAAGGCTGGGGCCTGCTGGGGGGCGTTTCCCCGCTTGCCGGCTTCAAAACAAGTGCGCGGTGCGCGGTGCGTGAGCCGGGGCTGCGTGCAGCCGCCGCAGGCTGCCCCCCGACGGGGCTCCTCGGCCGGGTTGGTGACCCGCACCGCGCAGCCGGCGCGGGGCAGGCCCTTCCCGTTGTGGCTGCGCCCGCGCTGGTAGCTTGAGGAAAGGGGTACGGGGGTGTGAAAGCGGACCGCCCAGGACAGAGCCCGTCCGTGGAGTGGCGCGGGGGCGGGGGGCGCCCGGGCCGCGGAGCCCGGTGGGGAACTCGGTCAACTTGGGACGAGCAGCTGCGCGCCTGCGTCGGGCGTGAGCAGCGCTTCAGGTGGGGCGGCGGACAGGGGCCGGCCGGCAGCCCGCTCAGCGGCCTGCTTCTCAGCTGGGAAGTGGGGTTCTGTTGTCTTCCTGCGGCTGCCGACCGTTCGGCTGGCCCCGAGCCTTTGGCCATCCCCGAAAAGTCTAAGAATGCCATCGGCGCCCAGTTCTCTGCACGTGACCGGTGGGCGGATTTTCACCGCTGCTTCCCCCGCGTCCAGCTCTGAGCGTTCCCCTCTGTCCACGGGTTTATCTTGTGTGCCAGGAATGCGTGTTCATTTTTATATTAGTCAGAGCAGGACATAGACGGAAAGGAAATGTGATGCCAAAACAAGCTTTTCAGAGCTAAGTACAAACGAGCTTTTCGAGTTACCGCAAGCCCAGTGTGCTCAGTGCCCATTGCGGGGCCGCGAAGCGCCGCGTTCCCCGCGCCCTTCACCCGATGAGTAAGCGGGACGGCGCCCTTCCGCGTGCGTGAGTTAGCCCGCCGCGCCCTGCGCCGCTGCACTCTCATCTTTTCTTCCCACTGTGCCTTTTGTCCCCTGTAGGAATAGCAGCCCCTCAACAAATGTCCTGGTGGCCCAAGTTGCATCATTTATTTGGGGCCAGGAAAAGTTGCAGTTTGAAATTGAACTGCTGGAGCCCTGAAGAGGCCTGGTTTGGGTGCTCTGCAAAGTCTGTTTGACACTTAATGTCAGCTTCCATCTCTGCACTTCTATTCAAATAAATATAAGAGGTGTTTCACTTTGACTAAAAGTAGGAAATAGTTCATTGACGTAAATTCTTTGCAGACCGAGGGATGCTTTAAATTAACTGATACAGCAGCGCTTCATGTGTAAATAGATTTAATAAAATACTATCTGAAAGCAGTGTACATTTTTACATTGATAAGGGAGATTATCTTGGAAAAAAATTGATACTTAAAAATGTTATTAGGTGCCCACTGAGTTCTGTTATTTTCAATCACAAGTGAGGACGACACATAGACCATTTGTATTGGTATTTGGCCTTAGAATTTGAGTTAATGCTAAATATACTATAATTCTGACATATTACAGTCATAATATATGTGACAAATGACAGATTTTGTTCCACTATAAACTAGTAAATGCTTAAAATATACTTTGGTGGTCATACAGTCTTATATCTAGATGAAGAGATACTACTCCTCAGTGTTGCATACTTCATTTTAATTTATCAACTCTTTTCTCCTCTCAACTTGGAAAGGTATTGAAATATAATTTATTTAAAACAGGACTATAATAGACAAAAGAAAGTATTGTTAGAATCAGCAAAGTATTAACAAAGATAATTGCATGAATAAGACTGCCACTTTATTTTAGTTTATATGTCTATATACTCTAAATTAAGATGAATCGTTTCATTTTTAAGTTGAATAGTTCCAGTTTTAGAAGACTTTTCTCCAGAAACTGGCAATCAACATTCTATAGTAGGGCGTAGAAATTATAAAAATGGCTTTATTCGTTTTTGAATCTCTGTATCTGAAAATTCTGAAGAGTTTTAGATAGCCAGAAGAGAAATTGCAAGCCCTAGGTAGCAAACTCTTTGTTCTTTGACCCAAATTTTACATGCTAAAATTAAAGTAAGCCTTCAAGATAAGTTAAAGCAGGAAAATGGGTCATAATGACAATGTTATTTCAACCTCTAATAAGATGTTATTAGTGGAAGAGGGTTTTTTTATATTAAAGGTTACATTGTAGTTTATACTATTTTTTTCTCTAAACATACTTTAAAATATACATTTTTAGTCTAATCAGTATGGCTCAGTGGATTGAGTGTCAGTCCCACGGACTGAGAGGGCCTGGTTCGATTCCAGGTCAGGGCACAGGCCTGGGTTTCGGCTTCCATCCCCAGGAGGGTGTGTGCAGGAGGCAGCCAATCAATGTTTCTCTCACATCAGTGTTTCTGTCTCTCTCCCTTTTTTTCTCTTTAGAAAAATCAACGGAAACTTACTGTTTTAAAAAATTAAGTATACAATTTTAGATTCATACATAAGTTTTAGTCTTCCATAAAACTATCCTCTTGCTATCACCTCTGTCATTCTGTTTTTTTTTCCTTCCTCTCCCTTTGCTCAAAGAATATACATCGTTTACTTCACTTAACTCACATAGCTGGAAGTAGGAAAAGGCAAGTTAATTGCACATGTGCTAAGACCTCCTGGGCTAATTTTAATGCCATAAAGACTAGGGGATCTCTGTTATTGTTTCCCTCCAGTTCCCAGTTGTTTT